GGAGCACCCTTCAAGTCAGGATCATGGGACAGAGAGTATTGGGTCTTGGCCACGCAGATAGGTAGATGGCCGTATCCTTGGCGGGTGTAGGTGTCGACCTTCTTCTGGGCGAGTTCGCTGAACTCGACCTTCTCGGCACCGTACATCTTCTTGCCGATGGCCTCGAGGCGCTCTTGAACAGTACCCTCCAGATCGTAGGTCAGCTTCAGGTCCTTGGGCTTCTTTGAAGCCGCAATAACACCATGAGCCAGGTCGACGGCTCCCTTACCACCCTCAGCCCAGTGGTTAGCAAGGATAGCATCTTCAGCGCCTGCGGAGATGGCCTCCTCACGAATGACAGCGATCTCGGCCTCTGTATCGGTAGAGAACTTGTTGATAGCTACGACAACAGGGATGCCAAAAGACTTGGCGTTGGAAATCTGCTTCTTCAGGTTCACGCAGCCAGCTCGCAGAATGTCAACGTTCTCCTCCTTGTAAACGGGGCTGAGCGCAGCACCAGGAGCAATGGGAGGTGCGCCGCCGTGAACCTTGAGGGCTCGGACAGTAGCAACAATGACAACAACATCGGGAGTAAGGCCAGAAGTACGGCACTTGATGTTGAAGAATCGTTCACCGCCCATAGTAAAGTCGAAACCAGCTTCGGTGACGACGAAGCCAGCCTTCTCATCATGGTCCTCGTCAGGCTCAGTACCAGCAAGCTTCAGAGCGAGCTTGTCAGCAAGAATAGAGCTCTGACCGATGCTGATATTAGCAAAAGGACCAGCATGGACAAATACAGGAGTACCCTCGAGTGTCTGCATAAGGTTGGGCTTGATAGCATCCTTCATGAGAGCAGTGAGAGCACCGCCCGCACCGATATCATCGGCAGTGACAGTGTCGCCATTTCGTGATGTAGCCACGACCATTGAACCCAGACGCTCACGCATCTCGGCCAGACTGTTGCTAAGTGCCAGGATAGCCATACACTCGCTAGCAACCGTGATATCAAAACCAGTCTCTCGGGATTGGCCCTTCTCAGTGGGGGCGGTTCCAACTGTAACTCCTCGAAGGTGACGGTCATTGACATCCAGAACTCGTCTCCACGTGATCGTCTCGGGATCGATGTCCAGTCTGGCAAACCGGTGAATCTCATCCTCAGTCAGTTCATCAGGGTTGGTCTTGTCAATTCCGAGCTTCTTTAATCGGCGGAACATGACAGGAGCGAATTTTCTCTCGCCGTTCTTTGTGGGGACTAGCCGCTTGTACAGAGGTCCGTCCTTCTGAGTATTCTCGTGGAAGATCCGAGTCTCGATAGCAGCAGCCAACAAGTTATTGGCAGCGGTGATGGCATGAATATCACCAGTAAGGTGCATGTTGAACTCATCCATAGGGATGACCTGACTGTAGCCTCCTCCAGCAGCACCTCCCTTGATACCAAAAGTAGGTCCCTGACTGGGTTGTCGAACATTGGCAAAAGTCAAATGTCCAACGTGAGCTCCAAGAGCCTGAGCCAAGCCCATTGTTGTGGTGGACTTGCCCTCACCCAGGGGTGTTGGGGTAATGCCAGTGACAACGACATAGCGGCCGTTTCGACGGTGCTCCAGTCGCTGCAGGAGACCGAGGTCAACCTTAGCCTTGTATGCACCGTAAGGTTCCAGCTCATGGGGAGCAATACCGATCTCGGCAGCAATGCGTGTGATTTCCTTAGGGTTTTGCGCTCGTGACACAGCGATATCTGAAGGGACGGGATTCTCCAGTTTCAGGGGCAGGGGGGTGGTCTTTCGAAGCTTCTGAGACTCGAAATACCACGTTGTAGCATCGACGACATTCTGCATCAACATAGCAACAGTCATGGGTCCAACTCCACCAGGAACGGGGGTGATGGCGGACGCAACTTCAACTGCGGCAGCATAGTCGACATCACCAACAAGTCGTTGACCAGACTTCTTGGTGGCATCGGGCAAAAAGTTGGTTCCGACGTCAATTACAACGGCACCAGGCTTGATCCAGCTGCCCTGGACGAACAGAGGCTGGCCAATAGCAGCAACAACGACATCTGCATTCTTGACGTACTCTTCGATGTTTTGCGTTTTGGAGTGCAGAACGGTGACAGTAGCATCAGCGTTTCGCAATAGGTAGCTCACAGGGCTACCGACAATGTCGCTTCTCCCAAGAACAACTGCGTTCTTTCCCTTCAGGTCAATTCCCGACTCCTTGAGAAGGATCATGACACCCTTAGGTGTGCAGGGAACGAAAAGAGGTTTGCCACCCCTCTTGGCCAGCTCTCCAATGTTCTTGGTGCCAAAGCCATCAACATCCTTCTCGTCTGCCACAAAAGATGTGACAGTATACTCAGAGATGTGCTTAGGAAGAGGGAGCTGAACTAGAATACCGTGAACGGCAGGATCATGGTTGAATTGACGGATATGATCGAGAAGCTCCGCCTCCGTGATAGACTCAGGGTAATGCAGCAGTTGGCTGTTGATACCAGCCTTTTTGATGAGTCAGTCAAGGTGAGAGGCTAAAATTTCATTATGACTCACCTCTGCAGCAGCCTTGAGCTTCATGCGAACATAGGTAGCTGTATCGCGGGTTAGTGGTGAGATGATCTCATGATGGCGGGGCAGGATTATGACGAACAGGAGTCTGAACGATCACCCACTGTGAGACAATTGAGTCAGTGTTGAACAAGTAGAGTATTATGAGCAACCTGGTCATACCTTGGATAATCTTGAGGCATGGCTTGAACCTAGGGTTGAGCTTCTGTTTCTCAGTAACCTCGGCGCAGAGTTTCTCTCGGATCGACTTGGCAATAGCATTGCCATCGAGCTTTGCAGCAACCATTGTAGTCGAGGAAAAGAGTCTTTTCTGATGTGAGAATGGGCTAATGAAAGACAAAGACTTAGACTCGACAACAGAGGTTGAAGCAAAGATATTTCGTCGTTTGTTGACTGAGAGGCAGTCTCTGTATAAGAAGTGGGCTGTCGGGTTGTGAGGAGGGGCAGTCCGAATAGCGGCGTCCACGAAAGGCACGGTCGACACGGGAGAAACCACCGAACACGTGTGAAGGGGAGTTTGCCTGTGTGACTTTGTGCGTAAATACGCCTGTGGGTGGGTGAGAATCTGACTTTGCTGGGACCCGCCTAATTCTACTGCGGGTTCGGCTTGGTGCGTATACAATCGGCAGCTCAGCCGTTGATGTCCAAGGCTTGTTCTCGTTGCATATCGTGATATCGGTATCGATAACGTCGAAGATAGAAACCGCAAATGCCGTTGCTGTCTCGGGATCAATCGGGAAATATTCGATTCAAGCCACCCGGCGCAACGGAGGACCGCGCCGTACATGATCAACTGTAATATGATTATATCCTTAGTTGTATGTAGATGAGTATGGTATTAGACCCAATGCCGAACAATCTCCTGATGTCCGACGGATCAATGGCGAGAGCATATACATGTAGATCTATGCAATGCAATGCAAGCCCTTCCGTAAGGAAATGTTCCAAGCCAAAGTTGCAGAAAAGAGATGAAGCGAACCAGCAAGGTTGTTGGGTGACGATGCCGGTAATAACACAATATTGTACAGCAACGTAGTCTCTCAGTCGATAGACTTAGTCTCTCAAAGAATATTGAGCCAGTTGAGAACCTCTGTGCGGCTCGTCCATATTCGAATACTTGCAATCAGTCCATATACTTGGGCTCGCGTGGCTGACTTTGCATTACCGCAGAATCTGATGTCAAGTACCTGCCTTCAAGAAGGGACATTAACGTGTTTCTCAGCGAACCGGACATTCACGACCAATGGGATCGAATAGGTCTGGCGGTGATGCCTTCAATCGTGGTCTTACACTGAGATTAACGAAGGCCAGAGTTCTAGAATTTTACCTGTACAAGGTAGTTAGTCACCCGACAGATCTTACCTTCACGACCAGCGGCGCTCAAGATGCCAAGCCTGAGCTGCCACTACTTTACTCTGAGCAGGGGTGAGCCAGGTGCATTGCTATAAATACAGTGCTAATAACTATTCATACCCTTATATTTACACTTTGATGACCCAGAAGGGCTTACCCCAGGTGTATCAACAGGACTCGCAGGAGTTGGGAACCTACCTAGATACCTAGTCTTCAGATCGCACAAGGTATCCTCGTTACTCTGAATATTAAGCCAGAGCGGATGAAGGTTGCCTTGGATCCATTTATGCTGGCTACTGATCTTACTGATTATCTCGTCTCTTTCGTGATACGCATCACATCTCTGGGCGATGCGTTGCGGAGAGCGAGAAGCGAGGCATCCCGATGAACGAGCTGGAACTGGAGCAACTACAAGCTATTGCTGGCCGGTTCGAGGAGGATGTTTCGTATGTGTTTGACCACGAGAGAAGTGTCGATATGAGAGCAGCCAAGGGTGGTTGTAGCCAGCCCGTGTCCTGGAGCAGATCAACGTTCTTAAGGCTATGCGTGCTTAGAACGGTTTAACAGCTGAGAGCCTCAAAGGGACAAATTTCTTGTTAAAAACAGCAGGGCTACTGGGACGATAGATTCGTAGCCATTGCAGCTGAGCTAGAGTCTATTCAGCTACAGCATAGAAATATTCATAGCCCGGCCCCAGCCAGAGGTCGCCTGGGTTTCGTTGCAGACTACCAAAGTTGCTGATGCCCCAGGATGAGGAGCTGGGAAGTGAGCTGAGACTAAATGGGAGCCATAACATGAATCAAAGAATTACTCAGAATATGACTCTTGAATCCTTCAGTGACTCTCCTCAGACTCATATTAATCTGTTTAGGCATCACAATGTGCCAAACATGGTTTAACTCAACTTTAACACCTCTCTCCCTACAAATCAGGCATTAGCCATGTGCCCCTCACAGCTCAGCTAAGGCGGGGGAAACTGATTTCGATTTTTGCCCCACCAAAACGCACAACCGCCAAAAATTCCATCGCGAAAGCCCTCGCCATATAACCACCCGCTCCGAATCTGCCTCCGCCATCAACCCCTCCTAGTGCCCCCCAGACATCGACAACATGAGGCCCATTCTTCTTGCCGGGCACGAGCGTGCGCTCACCCAGATCAGGTATGTCTGAGTCGTGTTCTGTCTCTATACATCTATCTGTATTTCAGTCATGAGGAAGTGGAGGGAGAATATTATACCCTTATAAAGCCTAAAGCCTAGGAATAACTTCGCCGGTACCCTCTACTAACCTCTCTCAATAGATTCAACAAAGATGGAGACCTCATCTTCTCCGTCGCAAAGGATCAGCAAATCTGCGCCTGGTTCTCCCACAACGGCGAGCGACTTGGAACCTACCACGGCCACGTTGGAGCCATCTGGACAGTCGATGTTAACCCCACCTCAACCATGATCGCCTCCGGTTCTGCCGACAACACCATCCGTCTCTGGGAAGTCAAGACTGGCCGTCTCATCAAGACCTGGGAGTTCCCCACTGCCGTCAAGCGAGTCGAGTTCAACGAAGATGCCACCAAGTTGCTGGGAGTTACCGAGAAGCGAATGGGTTACCTCTCCAACATTGTCGTCATCGACATCAACCCCGATCTCAACGCTGAACAGACCGACGAGAAGGCTCTCACTATTGTTTGTGACGAGAGCAAGGCCACCGTTGCTGGCTGGAGTGCTCTCAGCAAGTACATCATCGCTGGCCATGAGGATGGTAGCGTCAGCCGATACGATGCCAAGACCGGTGATCTCCTCGACAACGTTCCCGTCCATGAACTCAACCAGCCCATTGTTGATCTCCAGTGGTCTCCCGACCGTACTTACTTTATCACCGCATGCAAGGACAAGACCGCCAAGGTATGTCGGACCAAATTATCCCATATGATGAATACTAATCTTTAAAGCTCATCTCTGCCCGCGATCTCGAGGTCCTCAAGACCTATATAGCCGACACACCCCTCAACAGTGCCACCATCACCCCCAAGAAGGAATTCGTCATCCTCGGTGGTGGTCAGGCCGCTATGGATGTTACCCGAACTTCTGCCCGTCAGGGTAAGTTCGAGGCTCGTTTCTATCACAAGATCTTCGAGGACGAGATTGGTCGTGTGCGAGGTCACTTCGGTCCTCTGAACACTGTCGCTGCCGACCCTACAGGCAAGAGCTACGCCAGCGGCGGAGAGGACGGATACGTGCGAGTTCACCACTTCGACAAGGGCTACTTCGACTTCAACTACGAGGTTGAGAGGGAACGAATCAACCGAATGCAGTAGATGCGTTCTTTTCCTGTGTGCTTGCATAGTACGGCGTTTGGGGGACAAACAAATAAATGTTTTTGTTCAAATGGGGCAAAAAATAAACGGGAGCTGGACGTGATGGAAAAAGAATTGGGTGTGTAAGGGGAGATAAAGAGGTTGACAAATGGGCTTGTAATTCTTACCATCTCTCCAGGGTTTAAGGAAAGGTCGAAATGCACGATTGATCACGTTTCTACGACTTTGGATAAACTTATGACCATGCAGTCACGAACATCATGGTCGCTACTTCACAGCGCGTCGAGTTGAAGATATCAAGCAGACAATCAGTCAGATGGCTCTTCTGCTCAAGTAACTTTCTTCATTGTACTATCAGCCATTCTCACGCCTGTATTCCCACCTGTGGAGGCATCGTGTGATGCATTTTCTGGCCCTTGGTACAAAAAGCCATGCTAGATTAAGCAAATACGTACACAATGGCTTCTCTTATAAGTCCTCAAAGCAACCAAACGCCAAAAAGTCTATCCCTTTGCCCACCCAACACACTAAAGGCAATTCCAATATTCCTTCACTTCTTTTTACCCTTCTTGCCCTTGGCAGAACCTCCTGCGGATACGGTAGAGACAACACTAGATGCTCTTGATGGAGTGGCGGAGCTGTTCTTGCTAGACTTGACGGACTTGACATTATCGAGTGCCTTGTTCTGTAAAACATGTTAGTCATAGACAATGCACAAGATTAGTTATTCACTCACCTTGACGCCGTTTTTAGCCTTCTTCTTTGCCGGTGCCATACCAAGAATGCTATCTTCGTCATTCTCATCGTCAGGCTCTCGCTTGGATTTTCCATTCACTCCGTTTGAGCCACGAGCAGGGACGTCTTCGAACTCTTTAACAATGGTAGTGATCAAAGTAGTACATCGACGAGACAGCTCAATTGGTGTTCGACTGAGGAAGAACCAGTCAAATCGGAACAGTGGTGACTCTCTAATGTCGTCTCGCATCTTTTCGTAAAGACCTTCCGAATCAATGCCATATCGATCAAGTAGAACCAAAAGGAATCGGTCCTCTTCTTCAGTGTAAACTTTCTTGTTGGTAGTCGACACAGAATAGTTGATCTTGAGCTGCTGTAGAGGGACTCGATACTGTTGCATCTTCTTCCTCAAAAGCTTTTGGTGGTGACCAATACGGCGAGTCCGCTCCTCGCCGTCTTCGATAGTCTTGATGTACTTGGGGTAGTCGGCGATCTCGGTATAGCGTTGCCAAAAGACCTTTGCATAAGCCTTGATTTCTGGGGCTGACTTGCTGTCAATCTCGTTAGAGATGCCTTCATAGTCAGTTCGTCCGTATTTGCCGGATCCGTTGACAAATTGCTGAAAGTCTCGTTTGTTCCAGTCTCCGAAACCTTGTAGCGACAACTTTTCTTTTTCCTCCCTCTCTTCCTCAGTCAAAGGTGTGGCATTGTCGATCTCCTGCTGGTCGAGGGCTCTTTCGGCCTCTCGCTCTTCAAGGGTTTCTTCGTCACCGTCAGGTAGAGGGACCTTATACCCAATTTCCTTCCGATAGTAAGCAGTCTCCCTATCTTGGAGATCTCGCAGGCGTGGGGGGTAAAATTGGTAGTCATGAACAGGAACTTGCTTGGGTGCTCGTGGTGCCTTTGGCTTAGCATCGGCCTTGGGGTTGGGATACATAGTTTGTCGGAAGTACTTATCCATCGAGTATGACTGTTCCTTTCGCTCTCGCTTGGCCGGGTTGATCCAGGTCATGTTGATATTCTTCTTTGTATTGGCGAAGTTCTCGCCATTCCACTCGTAAGCAGACTCTGAGGTGAATTTTTGCAGATCATCAATTCCCAACTTCTCATACTTTGCGTTCAGCTCCTTGGTTCGGTTTTCGCCCTTTGCAAGGATCTCGTCGATATCGTCATCACCGACTTCGCCGTCCTTGGAGACCATGTTGCCAGTAGGTCCCTTGGACTGAAAGACCTTCTCGGCACCGTGCTGGATCATGGAAAGAAGCTCATCCTTGTTGGCTGCAGCTTTAGCGGCTTGTTGGGCACGGCCTTGTTGGATAACCAGTTGGTCTAGTCGTAGCTTCTGGGCAGCTCTCTCCAAAACCTTTTCTTCAATGGCGTTATCTGTGACAAATCTGTATACAACAACCTGCTTAGTCTGACCAATACGATGGGCTCGATCCATGGCCTGAAGATCAGCTTGAGGATTCCAATCACTGTCATAGAGGATAACAATGTCGGCAGTCGTCAAGTTAATGCCTAGACCACCGGCACGCGTCGTAAGGAGGAAGACAAATTTCTCCGAACCAGGTTTATTGTATTCGTCAATGGCAGCAATTCGATCTTCATGTGCTGTGCCACCATCGATTCGACAATATTTGTACTCTCGGAATACACAATAGTCTTCGAGAATATCCAATAATCGGCTCATTTGAGAGAAGATGAGAACGCGGCTTCCCTGCTTCTGGAGCCGCTTGAGAAGCTTGTCAAGGACTGCCATCTTGCCAGCGTTATAAACCAAATGCTCATCGGTTGTATAAGGGGGTCCTGGCTCGGCGCCTTCGAACAGATAGGGATGGTTACAGCATTTTCGAAGTTGCATCACGATGTTGAGTAGTCGTGTCTTTGACTCTCGTTTGCCACCAGCACCGTTAACGGCATCAATATCTTTCTCCAGAATCTTCTGGTACCATTTAATCTGCATCTCCGACATGCCGAGATAAACATTGACCTCTTTCTTGGGCAATAGACTCTTCTCCACGTCGCTCTTCACGCGGCGCAGTAAGAAGGGGCGGAGGACTTTGTGTAGTTGTTGTACGACCGTATCTTGATCGCGGTCTTGACCTGAGAACCACTGATCAAATGCCTCAGAGTCGCCGAAGACATCAGGAAGCAAGAAATTCAGAAGAGCCCAGAGTTCATGCAGGTTGTTTTGTAACGGTGTGCCCGTAATAAGTAATCGGTTTCTGGAGGAGAACAATCGGATAACCTGTGACAGTGATGACTCTTCGTTCTTGATTCGATGCGCCTGAATATTCGTTAGCTGATGAAAGTCTCGATTGTTCCAAAATCACATACTTCGTCGATGATGATGTATTCCCAAGCAAATTTCTTCAAATGCGCTTTCTCTCGAAGCACCATTTCGTAGCTGGTAATGCAAACATCAAACTTCTCGTCAACAAGGCGATCGTTGATAAGGGTTTGTCGTTCGTCTTTCGCACCCTGGAGCACCAAAACATCGACCTCGGGGGTCCATTTGGCAAACTCTCGCTTCCAGTTATCGAGCGTGGACTTGGGCACAATGACCAAGTGTGGTCCAGTAATGCCAAGAATGTGTCGCAGGTAGCCAAGGAACGAAATAGTCTGCAGGGTCTTTCCAAGACCCATTTCATCGGCAAGAATACCAGAAATACCATTCTCGTGCAGGGAAATCAGCCAATTGAGACCGGCAACCTGGTAGTCTCGCATGGTGCCATGGATGAACGGAGGGGATTCTCGGAAGACCGTCTCAGCGGAGCCACCGTGCTTTTCGTCTTTCAAGAGTTCGGCGTCTTCTTCAGCTTCGGTACGTCGACGCCGCTCACTCATGGCGCCCCCTTGCCTTCCGGCGCCCTTCTTGCCTCGCGCAGATTCGGCATTCTGTCGATCGATTTCGGTCATGATATCGCGAATCTTGGGGTCGGGGTTTGTTTCAATGAAGTGGCGGAAGAGATCGGTCAGGCCGAGGAGGTATCGAAATCGACGAATGGTGTCATCTTCCTAGAGGTTCGATTAGATTGTTTCGTGTCATAGCCTTCTCTTGGGGTGCGACATACCTTGGATTCGCCTAACCGATCGTGTTTCTTTCCAAAAATGCTACGACGAAGTTGGTTAACTTCTGTGCGGCGCCTACGGCCATCCCCAGTAGGCTCTCCGGCGACGCTGCTAGCAGTGGTGCTAGGATTTTCGGTATCAGTGTAGTCGGGTGTCTCGTCAACTTCCTTAACAAGCTGTCAGCACAAGGTCTCACCCACAAATGTAAAGAATTTTGTGAATATAGGAACTCACCATCTCTTCTTCTTGTCGATGCTCCTGCGCGTCAGACATGGACGCGTCAATATCGACAGCTTTGGCTCGAGAGCGAGGCGCCATTGCGAGTCGAGTTTAGGATAAACCTCTTTACGCGACTGGCATCCAGAAGACGCGTTTCAACGGCTTGCAATGTGAAGCACAAGTCAATGCAAGTAGTCTATTGGCTCTTGTAGCGTATTCTGTGTGTATTTTGAAGGGTATGTGGTGTATTCAACACAGCCACGTCGCTTGAAGGATTGGAAAAGAAAGTGTGAATGCTGTTGCGAAGGTTTGGCGGGTAGAATCTAAACGGTCACCTCGAAGGGGGCCAATCTGGGCTAGCGGCGTGCATAGACCCTTGTAAATGGCATTGGGCCCCACGATGCAGCAAGGGAAGAAAGGATATTCCGATGGTTTTTAACGACGTCACTTTGTCTTACTGATCTTGTGTGAAGAAGTCACTGTAAATCTGAAAACAACCAGGTGAAGTATTCTAAGCTTATATTATCTTATATACTCGTACAAGTACGCGATTGAAAGAGATTCTGGTGAGTTGCTGAGACAATCTAATAGTTTGTATCAAGTCACGTGGCTGGAATCCCCCCACACCTACAGGTACCGACCCCTCGGTTAGTACCGTCCATCAGGCTCTGCCCATGTTCTGTTGGAGTGGATGACCTGGGCAAACGCTTCATGACCCCAACCTTTACCTTGCCCAACTGTTTTTGAGATCATAGCTCTTCGGGAGCAACATACCCAGCTTGTCTGACTTCGGTGTACCGCGAATACATAGCATTTTCTCCCCGGTCTAGGAGCCTCTTCTGATACTAATACTACTTCCCTCTGATTAGCAAGTGAGGCGATTTCTCCCTCGACGTTTTCTAACATATCTGACTCTTCGTTTCCAGTTTTCCACATCTCTTCGTCGCTTAATCACGATGGAGCCTATGAGGGGC